CGGAGGGCAGCCTGGGGAAGCGGGTGTCCTGCCGGTCCTGGCTGCTCGGCTCGCTGCTGGGCAGGCGCCCTGGCCCGGCAGTGGGTTACGGGACCCAGGGGTTGTAGCCGTTTCTTTCTTGCTCCTGGTCACGGAGATCTTTTGTCCGGGAATGCGGCTGTGTGGAGAAATTGAGAGCTGGGTGGCAAAAACTAGCATTGCACAGACCATCCTTGTCTCTGGATGACTAGCAGGCATTAAAACATCCTGGTGCAGATAAGCAGTGTTTTATGTAACGTGGAAATTCACAAAGGTAGGTGAGAAATAGGATGGCCTTGACAGTTAAAACGCTGTGGAAGAGCCTATAGTAAATCATAAATGGAAACGGACTTTAGTACTGATGTGTGGCATACAGGTAGAGGACGGACAGCGATAGTAGCATCTTGCTTCATCATACTTTGTTCTTGGTAGAGAAATTGCTTTATGATGATATTTGATCTCTAAGTTGATACTTGAGTTCTAGAGGGACTGCTGTGAAAATGTCATTTAAGCCCAACAGTGTGTCTTTGCCCATTGAACTGAAAACAGCTTTTCTCAAAAGCTGTAGTATAGATGCGGATTAACGGCCTCTTAAAAGTCTTAAGTGAAGCAGTAATATGGATTTGGGAAAAGTTGCATCCTTTTATTTATCATGTTTTTCTAAATCTCTCACTCAAGCTATATGATAAAATCCTTAACTTAAATTGTAAAAACTGCTATTGTAGCACTAGTCAGAACACAGTGCCAAACTGTCTTGGGTGTGCTTGGTTTTGACTTTGTAGTTGGTTCATTTTGCAAATCGTGCAGGGATTGTTGTATACACAGCCAGTCTTGACTAGCTCAGAATATGCAAAATTTTACTTGAATGGTTCAGGTATATAGAGCTGTATATTACATATTCTGTAGAGCTGTATGTTGACATTAATTTGGTTTGATGTTTTTCTCTTAAGCATGATAATTTTCTTTGGTACTGTAACTAGAAATAAAATCTAATATGTAATTAAAACTAAGAAACTGAAGTGACACATGCCAGAGGTTTGATACTGAAGAACTGTGATTGCTGGAACTGAGAACTCTTTTTATATATTTTTGTTCCTTACAGGGTTAAGAATTAGGATTTATTGATTAATCATTAGTTGGACCTCTTACATTTCAAGTAATTGAAGAGTCAGATATCCTTATGGTAAGCATAGGTTTTGGGCTAGTACAAAATAACTTGGTTGTCAGTGTACCTTTAGTAGAGAGGGATCACAGAGAATATCATGAGGCATGCCTGTGGTCAGAGCAGACGCTTCATACCTTGGAAGAATAAACACGTGACAAGCAAACACGGAACCATATAGGGAAGACTACTTCCTGAGTTCGAAGAACGCAGCTCCTTAGGCCCTCTGCAGAAACGAAATGGTTGCAAAGGGAATGTTTTTGTATCGTATTAGGACGCAGTGGAATAAAGGAAGTGCTTCTATCTTGGATATGGCCAATATCTGATGCTGCAGTTGTTAGAAGTGTGTTGAAGATGATCTTGAATTCCATTCTCTCTAGTGTCCTTGATGGAGCAAGTGAGCAAAAGAGATGAGCAAGATTAAAAGACCGTATGATTATTCAGATGATGCCTCCCTTGGCTTCCATAGACTATAGAATTTTTTTCCAGTTGTGATTTGGAAAGATATACTTTTACCCTCTCAAATTACCTCCTACCTGTGTGTTTCTTTCAGTCGATCTTCCCTACTAGTCAGAATCAAACTATTACAAAGATCTGTTTCCCCTAGGGTTATCACCTGTTTTTTGGGAAACTGTCACCTATATGCTTCAAGAATTTGATAGGGAATTCACTTCTGCTTTTTCGCAGGCAACTAGCTACAGTCTCCCATTGCCTTAGGTTTTCCTTTAAAGTTTTCTTCAGAAAGTATTCATCTCTATCTTACTGTGGTAATTGTAGTGCCTAAGGATAGTTAATTATGACATTACCCCCTTCCTTAAATATCTTATATGTGTACAAACATTTATTTATGTTACCTTTGTATGTAATACATGTTACGTTTATATATAATATATAAGCATGCATATAAATGTGTATCTATACCTATGTGTTTAGATACATATGTATGTGCATATGTATATGTTCTTCATATATAAAAGAAGACTTCTTTTTTCTCTTCTGCTGCCCTCCAAACGCACTTCTTCCAGAGCTGAGTTTTTCATCTGAGGCGTTTCAGATTAGTCTTGGAACTAGTTCAGTCAGGCTGAAATGGATTGGTTTGTTAATGCTGAGTAAATTAAAGTTTTTCTAATGAAACTTCATATTTGACTTCAATGTGGAAATCTAGCTGTTCTCTAGAACTTTTACCACCAGTAATTGCTCTTTGTTCTTTAGTTTCCAATAAGCAAGTTGTGTACATAATTGTTCTTAAACAACTAAAGGATTTCGGAAAGTGGAACTTCAAGGATGACTGTAATAACCAATGATCATCAGTACCACTCTACCAAATGTCTGTTCAAATATGGAACAACTTTTGGGTATTGATGCACATACTTCCTTGCAGATGTACAGAAGTGCTCGTTCGTGGTTAGTAAATTAGACAGATTTTGACAATAGTTTTGTTGTTTTAGATTCCACTTACATGCACAATACAAACTGACGGGAACTCTACTGTCTAGGTAACTAACTCAGAAATGTTGACCTTAAGTTGCTTTGAACTTTGTAGGATGAAACAGCATGCTAAACTTTTTCTGTGTTATTACAGGTAATCAGTCAAGATTGTGATTGTGCATCGGTCATTGAAAGAAACCATTTAAAAAGTGGTCTTTCAGCCTCTGCTTCCTTCAGCTTCTAGGTTAAAGAGAAGTGTATGTCTTCTAGTCAATGGCTTGCAGCTGATAAGGCAAAGATTTAAGCGTTGGTGAGGTTTGCAAGTTGTGGCTTGGCATTGTTCTAAGACCACTGTATCATTTTTGAACTAGAATTGGCTTGGATACATTTAACTGAAAGCACAGGTGGAACAGGTACTTGTTTGCTTTTATTCCTGTATGGACATATTCCAATCGAACTGAAGAAGATGTGGTGATCCCCAGCAAAAGGAGCAAATGACTGCCATCTTTAAACTTACCAAAATGAAGTAGCAGCCTTCCGTACAAACTTAGCGCTTGGTGTGCATTCTGCAGGATTAATCAGCTCGTCTTTTAAAAGGCAGACTTGCAGATGACCTGGTTGGCAGGGCTGACTGCTTGCCAAGTTGTTGTTCTTTCCTCCTGGATGAAGCTTATAGATCATAAAACGAAAAGCCTTGATACAGCTCTGTGCTATTAGGAATACTATTGTCGCTTCCTTTGATATAGCTAGTGTAGCTTCACCATGCTGTATTAACACACACCTGTGTAAGTAAGAATAACTTACAAATCTATTCAACCGTGTTACCTAAACAGATCTAAACATAAAAGGTGGCTATTTAGGAGAGGCCTATTTATCTGAAAAGATAAATATTTTAATTTCTGCATATTTAAGTGCTTAGCAAGATGTCTGTGGTGTGTGTGTGTGTGTGTGTGTGTGTGGTTTTTTTTTTTTTTTAAGGGTATAAATTCATGCCCTAGCTACTTGGACAAGCTAATTGGAGAACTAACAAACTGTTGTCACAAGAGCAAAATTAACAGAAGTTGAGCATTCTCAAAAGCTCTTCTTCAGTTGGAGTGTTTTGAAACTGGCACATACTTAATGCTAATTAAATAATTCTTATGAGTAAGCTTTTTTGTTCCATGATAGATATTAGACTAAGCTTTCCTAGGATATCCCAGATCTTTCATGTACTTTGAGGGAAAAACAGGCTTTTAATTCTTGATATTAGAAAGATAAGTTTGGTCACAATATAAAAGGAAATTTCTATTTTGAAAAATACTCATATGCTAAAGGCATGTTTCTCAACATATTTTCTCTGGCAACTGTCAGGATTTTGACTCCTTGGATCATTGTTAATGAACTCAATTTTTGGAATGTTCTCTGGCAACTGGAAACTTATCATCTAGATTGTGATTTTGCTGAGACGCTGCCTTGATTTTTGAGCAGTATGTTGTGGACCTAATATTTGGAGTCCTCTGGTACATCCACAGCAACAATTCTGATTAACTTTTTTTTTTAATTGGTCTGGTGTTGATATTTTTGTCAGAAAGTGGAACCAGTAGAGCTGTGAGAAAGTGAGCTTAAATCTAATTCTGTGTCAAGAAAACTAGGTCGTCTTTGCCATGCCTATATAATAGATGATCTAAGAAGCTATAGGAAACAGCCTCATACAGACATAAGTATTTGCTCTAAGAGCTGAAAACAACTCTTACGTCTGTAGCTAGGTGAAATAAGACATAAGTATTTGCTCTAAGAGCTGAAAGAGTCTGTAGCTAGGTGAAATAAATGAAGTTCTTTAGGTGGTGTGTAATTAAAGTAAGGTTTGGTTTCTAAACAGCTCTCTGCTTTGAGGCAGTAAACTTGAATACAAGTTTATTTCTTTGATATCATTTCCACAATTCTTGAGATGTTGCAGTAATGCTGTGTGCTTTGTATGGGAGCTCTGCAATAGAGAAAATGGATGAACGTGGCTTGTCCACCATCCCATGGTTACGAGGTGATGAACAGAGGAACAATTATTTGTGGTCTGTGGGTGCATCTACTTAAGTGGCTTCGGCTTGTGTATGTGGAATCCACTCCTGAAAAAGATGTGCTAGGAGGTTTTTTCTTTTTTTGTTTTGCGACGTGCTCTTCCTAAGCAACCTTCACTAAGCTGACAAAAGCAATTTTGTTAGGGTGCTTACGCTGGCGATGCAGTGTGCGGTTTTTCCTTGGTTCTAGCAGAACCGTGTCTGAAGGTTAAGCTTAGAGACACTGTTTGCTTTGTTAGCGTGTAAAAGATTAAATGTTCTTTTTATGTATGTGTTTTGCTTTTGTTTTCCCCCCATACCTAACATATAGCTTCAGAACATAACTTTTTTTTCTGTTCTTTTCCAGTTTAGGTCTAATATCAGATTCATTTCATATGTTTTTTGACTGCACTGCTCTTTTGGCTGGATTAGCAGCTTCAGTTATTTCAAAGTGGAGGTCAAATGATGCTTTCTCATATGGGTAAGAAACTTCAAGCTGTTGCTTTAATGTATTTTAGTAAACAAACGTGGTAATTTCTCATTGTATGCACAAAAACTTTCTGTAGAACATGAAAAAACTGTATTGAAAGTGTGTTTTTTCAGGTGAGTTGTTTGAACTTCAAATGAAGGATGAGATATTTAAACCTTTAAAGTGAGTATCCCTCCTAGAAATGGTAAACGTTTAAAAGGACTGCTTTTGGGGAATAAGTGTATCACTTCTAAGAGCTCTGTGGTGATACTAGTGGAAACAAATTAAGCTGCAGAGCCAAAGGTTGCCCTGCGTTGTCATGTGCTCATAGCACAGGGAAGTAAGAGCAACTGCATTGTGGGTTTGTCATCAGAGTGCAGTGAGGTTCGTTGTAGGCAGTCTCAGGCTGCTGGTGCGCCATGCCTGCCTTGGAACAATTATATAACTGAAAGGAGCTAAATCTCAGTGATGCTGCATCTGAGACTATAAACCGTGCCTGTCAGAACCCGCAGAATTCAATAGCTGTGACTACTATTAACATCATTAACACGGTTGTGCTATCCTGGTGCTATCCTCAAGGCGAGTATATCTTCCCATAGTGTTGGATTGCCCTTTATTGATACAGCATCACTGACGTGAATTGTCAGCATTCAGCTTCAGCTGTCTTGCCTAAGCATATGTTTTGAGACTTAAAGCACTGTTTAATTAAAGTAGAAATTCCTGTGTGCCTAGGAATCAATTGAGGAAGAATTGGTTATATCATGAACTAGTTGCAGTGAAGGCAGACTCTATATTGACTGCTCTAAATTTAAACAGCTAGCATTCAATGTATTGGAGAACAGCTGCAATTTATTACGTTTAGTGTTTGCTATACTGGAATTCAATGAAAAAAGTCAGATTAGAATTTCATGTGAAAAAATTAGTAGTTGAAATAATTAATTTTTACTTCTATTAATATTTTAAAAATCCTCCTACTAAAGGAGGAACAAATTAATATATCACTTTTAATATTTACATCAACAAAACTTGACATCCACAGGCTTGGATGTTTACATGCCACCCACTTATCTCACTCTGTGGCTTCCAAATATAAGTTTGTGCCATAAATTCCTGTAGAGATGTTTTTAAATGAGAAGATTTTAAAGTACTGGAAGTTTTCTTTCACGTAGGTCAAGTAGTGGCTGGGGAGGCAAGCTGAATGATCTTGCTTTTGGGTCTGTGGGCTTAAAGAACTGTTCTGCTAGCCTGGCAGGTTGAGGAGGAGGGTTGTTGTGAGATAGTATCCTACTTGCTTAATTCTCTGTTCCTCCCTTGCTTTCCATCCCTTTATTCTTTCAATGTTTTATTATTGTTACCTTTCAAAAGTTCTCAGAGGTGCATCACTTAATACAACTATGAAAGCTGAGTAAAAGTCTGCTGTGGTGAAATTTCTGAAACTTCTACCAGAACCAGAACAGTGAATTTCATATACGTTTCTCTAGTTTATATGCTATGTCTTCATTTAAAAATTTCTTGTGTAATGCAGGTGTTTGAGAACTGGGAGATTGTACCCCAGTTTCTTAGTTCCACTTTCAATTTTTAGCATTTAAATAGCAGTGGTAATACCTGATGTTGTTGTTTTGTTTTTTTTGCAGGTACGTTCGAGCAGAAGTACTTGCTGGTTTTGTAAATGGCTTATTCCTCATCTTTACAGCATTTTTTATTTTTTCTGAAGGTGTTGAGGTATGTTATGAGTTCAACTGCACTTGTTAATTGTCACGCTTCTATTTGTAGTGTATATTTAGTAGGGCTACAATTATTGCAGGGGAACGTTTTATATTCATAATTAGTTAAAAAGCTGAGATCTGAACAGAAAATAAGGCCATCACACACAGAAAAACAGCTTTTTCAGAGTATCTGTAATAGCCCTTAAATAGTGTATTTTGATTGTGTATGAAGGTTCTGTCAGATTTACCCTGTTATCTTTTCAGCCAGTACAGGATTTCATAGAAAGATCTTTACTTCTCGTGGTTAAAAGACATAAGGCCAAGAAAGAAAAACCAAAACTAGTCGCTCAGAGGAGAGAAGTGTAATCATAAGAAATGGAAATATATTATCTGAAGAAGTTGAACTAACTCCTTAAAGAAAGAACACTATTCTCTGAATTTTGAAGTCAGATTATAAATGGGAAGTAGTAACAGTTTTAACTTTTGCCGGGGCACTTTTCTTGAATGTTCTTTTATAAGATGATTCAGCTAATAATTTGGAGATTAAAATTTAGACATTGAGGTTGTCTGCACCGAAGTGTGTTACGATTAAGACAGCTTTAAAGTTGATAACTGATTCTGATCAGCTTGTGTGAATGCTTTTACCTTTTAGTGGGAGATATATTACAAATGTTTATAGACTTCTGGTTCAGAATAAGTTAGTTCTGATTTTTGAGCTGGCAGACAATTAGGAAGAGCTTTCGGGAAGATGTCTTCTATGTAGATGAGGCTGTAAGTACTTTAAAAATCAGTAGAAACTATAGGGCCCATAGCGTCTCTGGCACTTACTCTGCTTTCTCCCAAAGTTTTTGAATCTAGATGTTAGGAGTTTAACAGAACTGCCACAACTTGTTCTTGCTTTCATTACCTTCATCCTCTCACCCTTCTAAGAAAGTGTGAGGGTGACTGAGCACTGGAACAGGTTACCCAGAGAGGCTGTGGAGTCTCCTTGGACATATTCAGAAGCCGTCTGGGCACGATCCTGGGCAACATGCTCTAGGTGACCCTGCTTGAGCAGGGGGGTTGGACTAGATGATCTCCAGAGGCCCCTTCCAACCTCAACCATTCTGTAATTGTGTGAAGAAAGGAAGAAAATAAAAGGCCTTCTAGACTCTTACAAATTGTTTGGATGACTTGTGCAATCCGTGTATTATAATGAACTTAAATGTCTTCATATGGTGTTGAGCCATATCTCACAGCATAGTGAAAATGATCATGACCAAAGCTAGGAGTAATGCTAGATCATTGTACTCTACTTTCACAGCTTTAATAAAAACGAAACTTCAGCTTCAGATGATGAGAATCAGTCTGTGTACCATCTCAGAACTGGAGGTCCTAAGTAATTCCTAATTATGTCTTTATATATGCCTGTTTATATAAGAATGCTCCTGTATCTAAGCAGTTTTGTGCTACTGCTTCCTTTTTTCTTTTTAGTACCTTTTAATAATTTGGGCTTGTAAAACTCTACCTTTGCTTCTCTTTTATTTATTTATTTATTTATTTATTTATTTATTAGAGAGCATTGGAGCCTCCTGATGTGCATCATGAGAGACTTCTTCCTGTTTCTGTACTAGGATTCATTGTAAATCTTATAGGAATATTTGTTTTTCAACATGGAGGTCATGGACATTCACATGGCTCTGGTATGATGCCTATAATTTTCAGTACTGTTTCCTTTCTTAGCAGTCTGTGTTCCAGGACCCTATCGTCCTCCAATGACAGCCTCAATACTGGACTTTTTTCTTCTTAGGGGCGAGCCTAGCAAAATGTGGACGTGACTTGTTGTGGTCTTGACTCTTAATTTTTTTGCTAGACCTGGTTTGTCACTGCTCTATTTGTTGTGTTAACACCCGCTATCTGGAAGACTTAGAACTCCAGAGTATACTTTCTGAAACATGTGATCTTTCCCGTCTTACTGGAAGAGATTTGCAGAATGTCTTTTGGACAAAATTAAACTGGAGTTAGAGATAGTCTATAGTGGAGATTTTACAGAACAACGTCTGAACTAAATTTTAAATATGAAATGGAGATTCGGTTTCAGGTGCTTCTAAACTTAGTGTCTTTTGAACTTTAAACGCAGAATTTATTTGCCAAATGCATATGGTAAACACTATTTTTTTCCTCTCTCTTTCTGAAAAGCTGTATGCATCTATTTCAGCATAGTGTATCAACTGTGATATAGACTGATGGAAGAAAGTAGTCCACGAACCTTAGGCAGCATCTTAAACATGTGTGTTTTTTTATAATGTTTGAACACTAGCTGTCCTCCAGTTTCTTAAAAGAGCTGTTTTTAATGGATTTGTATCAAATTTTGTAAACGTTTTTTCCAGTTGTATTAAAACTCTAGCATAACTTATCTCAAAAGTAGGAAAGTATAAAAGCGTTTGGCTTCTCAGATGAAGTAAATATTTTATACAGCTGCCCAGCGTAGATTTAGATTATCAACAGTTTGTGTTAATTTTCTTCTAATAAACTTATGTAAGTCATACCTTAAGATGACCTGAAGAATGAATAGATTTTAAGTATCTGAAATAAATGCAAGCACACTTTTATTCAGCACTTGAATTCATATTCTGACAGTGGTATTTGTTTATAGGGCATGAACACAGCCATTCTCTATTTAATGGTGGTCTCAGCCATGGACACAGTCATGGAGGTCATGGTCACAGCCATGAACATAAACACGGCCATGGATACACTCACGATCATGGCCATAGTCATGGACACTCTCATCATCAGGATTATTGTCATGGTAAGTACCTAGTTAGGGGCATAGACCATCTTGCCTCAATTTAAATTCGCTGCTACTGATTTTTCTGAAGAGGTGAGAAGCTGCAGGCAGCTTGTTGTAGTGAGCGTACATGGAAGTAATTTCGCTAAATATAAGGTGCACAATGACAGTGCTGTGTCTTGTGGTTTCTTTTGGTCCATGCTGTTTCACTTGTGATCTGTGCAGTTAAGTATAGCGTTAGTTTTTAAAGGTTTTGCTTTACCTACTTTTTTTTTGAATGTTCACCTTAATATGTTGTGTGTAAGCGAAAGATAAAACAAACGTTGTAGCAATATAATGAAATGAGTTACCAAGTGTTTTGTTTCTATTTCAGTTTTTGACAAACTAATAGATTAAGCAGCTTTGCTAATATTGTTGATTGGGATAATTTTACAGATCAAGAAATTAGGGAAGATAAATGAGTAATTTCACTTTGGGTACTTAGGGATATTGATGGTACTCAGTTTGTGAACTGAAATATAAGCTTTTCCTTGTCCTTTCCGGTTGTAATCTATTTCAAAGCTAGCTATGAAAAAGGTACTCTGCATCTTGGCTATGCTTAAATCTTTTGTATAAAGAGAAACAATGTATGAAGAGACAGGCCCACGAAATACCATAGGTAATCCTTGCCGTGGGAGAGGAGACAATGTGGTTACTACTTTTGTGAAACAATACAAATGAAAGAATTATTGTAGTACAGGGTTGTCCATCCTTCCTGACTATGCCATAAACCAAAGTTTGATATGACTGAGAATGTATGCGTTCAGAGTGGGTAGAGTGCTAATTTGCAGGCAGGAGGTGAGATAGTATAAAAATAATATCTTGGCTTGTCACTTCCTTGATGTTTTTAGTAGAAAACTGGTGCTCATTTTCCAAGTGTTCTCCTGAAGATGGTTGGAAAGCAGGAGCTTCCCCTTCCTGCCTCTTCCTTGCCCTCCACGCACTCCCTCCTCCCCTAACTTAACTGTTACGTCGTCCGTTCCATAGGAACGAGGTTATATCTGTTTTGTGCGCTTTGAAAAACAAATATGAATGCACTTTTGTATAAATTAAGTATTATATATCCTCATTAGAAGTCATTCACTGTCCTTTAACACCCCACCCTCCTGATACGTGTTCCATAGAGGCATTAATGTGCCTAGATGGGAGAATTTTTTTTGACTTAGTTCTTCTTTCTCCACACTTGTCCCTGTTGTTGTATATTAGGTATGAATGCTTGCTCAAGTGCCTTATTTTTCTGGGTAGGAAATTAATTTGACCTCATTCTTCTTTCTTGCTTGTTTGTATGGCTTGTGTTCTTGAGGCGCTTTCTTTAGCGAAATATTTGAAAGATGTTTATTTCTTAAATTGTGTTCATTAGGTAACTGTTCATCTTCTTTACATATATATGTATATATTTACCATTGTAAAACGTGGTACTGTCTTAAAAAACCTGTGTTTTAAGACCTTTAACCAAATTGTTGCATTGAAAACTCCAGATTAGTTTGGATTTTTAACAGCTGGAGCAAACGCTAATCATTCTTAGTTGCAGATGAGTTCAAAGAAATTTCAGAAAGGTAGACTGCAACAAAATATATCACTTGATAGACTTTGTGTAGCTTAACATGCCAATAATTGTCTTCACAGATGACCATTCTCTTGACGGGACGACTGGATCCAGCAAGCAGATTTTACAAGGTATGATGGAAATAGGAATAGTAATTTATTAGTTTTCATTACACATCTATTTTGGAGTGTGCTTCCAGGTAAATGCCATCTTTTTCTTAGAGGAGATAGTTTGTCAAGTCCCCTCTACCCATGAACAGACTAGTGCTGTACCCTGTGCGTGACTAGGCGTTGACACATTCCCTCAAGTCTACACGTAACGCTGTGTCAGCACAGTTTAAAAAGGAGATCCCAAAAGCTGGGATTCAGTTTGTTGCTAACACTGAAAAATTAAAGTAATAGAAGTGTAGAAAAGAGTGGTTAAAAGCAGAAACTTAAGGTATTTAATTCCAGCATATGCTCTCTGTAATCTCTTTATGGATAATTGGAGGCCATAATATCCTGAACTTTAGTATAAATAAATGACTGATGATGTAGTTGTCAGTTTTTAGCTTTGCCCCCCCCTCCCCCAAAGTGTTCAAAAGTTAGTGGAGGAGAAATGTACAGTGTAAGAAGTAGTAATTATTTGACATACACCAATGTATATACTGTTTCTTCTCTTGTTGGATGTTTTTCTGGGTTAGAAGTCATACTTTGCCTCTTGTTTGTAATCCTTGCAAGGGAACATTTTCAACCTCTTTCCAGTATTTATAGTATCTATATTCTGTGTATATGTACTCATTACTCTGATAGTAGATATGAAAAGACTGACTTTCAAATGAAAGGCATATTTTAACCGAAGCATATCAGAAAGACTCAATTTTCTGTCATTTTATTTTAACTTTTCAATATAGGCTTATTAGAAAAATCAGTGAAGAGTTGATTTATAGTTGTGAGTTGCTTCCTGAGTGGGATTATTTCAGTCTGAAAAACTATTCAGAAAGCTGTTTCTGAATGGCTATTGCTATCCCTGCCAGCAGGGAGCTCCAAAGGCTAGACTTTGGCTACCTGCAAAATGCTGCTTTCCCTGTCTTTTAATCTGATGTGTTATTTTTCAAGATCAGATTGTCTGTACTGTAATATAGTGGATGTTGAATGACAAATTTTAATTTCATTTGTTAATGACTATTTAAGTTGATAGCAATGCCATGAAATATCACTTAACGCTAATTAAAGAAAATAATATAAATTCTTAAGTGCTTTATGTTTTAAGGGTGCCTTGAAATCCTGTGATCACTTTCTGTGCATTTGACCAAAAAAGAGAAAGAATTTAACAAGCATAAATCATATTACAGTTCTTACAGCTCTTCTCCTCAAACTGTCCTTGAAATATTTCTGTTTACTTTAAGAATACCAAGTTGTATTGATACATAATCTCTTAACAGGTGTATTTCTACACATTGTCGCAGACACGCTTGGAAGTATTGGTGTAATCATATCTGCTATACTGATGCAGAACTATGGTCTAATGATAGCAGATCCTATTTGTTCAATGCTGATAGCACTACTTATAGGTGTAAGGTAAGCACTGATAGCAGTAATATTTGGTAGTATGTTTTGATGCTAGTTACAATAGCGCAAAGCACAGCTCAGAACAGGTCTGTCTATTTTAAAGATGCAGTTACACTAATGCTTCACCATGTCTGCTTTTCTTCTAAGAGTACTGTTTCCTCTATTCTGTACAGCTGTTGTGGTGGGTTCTAACTTGAGTCGTCTTGTTCTTCCTTTTCTGCAGCTACTGCTTTTCCTCTTAAATCTGCACATTTTAGTCCTGTTGGCATAATACTACAAAAACGTCCTTCAGGCTCAGGCCGTAGAAAGTTTGCTCTCTGTATGTAGCACATGCTTATATAAACCAATGTACTGTATTAGTAAGTGGAGCAGAATGGCTTCAGTGCAGCAGAGTTGAGCCTGCTGGCACAGGATGTGCCCTTGTCTGTCCTTAATGAATCCAGACTATTCTGTTTTGGGGGGGAGAACCATCTCTTCCTTTGTATTTATTTTCTGAGCCATCCCAATTCCTTTTAAGATCTGTTGGAAATACTTCAAGTAGTTGTGTGCTTTCCCTGATGTTGCTTACCAAGATCATGTAAATGTGAAGCTATTTGGATTAGATTAAACAAGCAGACATTTCATTCAATGATGCTGTGGTTCAGGCTTTTCTGGCAACAGCTTCAATGGTGGTAGAGGGCAGAGTGCCACAACTTCAGTTACAAACTTACAGCTGAACACCTTTCTCTCTTTTAACAATGGTGAATATCATCTGAATAATTGTGGGCACACAGTGTTTATACCAAATATGGCACGTTTATACCGTATGCATGGCAGCTTTCACAGTTACTGATGTGAATCTCCCTGTTTGTCAGAGTTGGGCAGCTTGTTTCAGCCACTGAAGAATGCCCACAGAAATCCATGGTAGAGGTCACTATTAAATTCTCACTTTCATATAAACTCAACATGTTGATTTAAATAAGCATCCTGTAATTAAATTTCATAAAGGACAAATCATTAACAAACAAATTTTATTAATGAGATCTTCAAAAATGGGAAATAAAATGTGCAGGTTAACCATGGGGAAATAGCTATTGTTGAGGTAATAGGTGACTAGGACACTGATTTCTGTACGCTTTGTATTTTAAAGGGTCCAGCTTTGTGTACAGTAAAGCACACACAGAGTGCTGAAAATATTACGTGAAAGAGAATGTCATTTGTTTGTGGTTTTTCGTCCATACATACGGAAGTTGGAAGAAGGCTGTAGCTTCCACAATAGAGTTTTTAAAGTAAAGCTAATCATAGGTCTCCTAGCATAGTTAGGATGGACTTCTGAGATCTGTGTTCTATGCCGAAAAGGCTGGAGGATTCCAGTTTGATGTGTCATTTGACCTGATAACAGATCTAATGTTTAACTCGTCCTATAACGTGATTTTGTTTGTCCAGGATCATTGTAAATGATCTGTATGATTTTTATGATAACTCTGAGTGCAGTCATTTGCATTTTAGTTAGCAGAGGCTAGTTCATATGTCTTTCAGGCTGGCATATCCTGGCACAGCAGCGGTGCAAAGGCTAACTACTTTTTTTTTTTTTAAATAAACAGTACAACTATCGTAGACTTGACTATTGATGACTTTGCTTGAAATGTACCTTAAACAAGATGAGATGACTGCAATTTCCAACTCTCAAAGAATATCTGTCTGGGTCTCCCTTTGTGTTCTTTTACGTTAATGTAAATTGGTACTTTTGGACATGAGACCATTATTTACTGTACTTTATTCCTCACTACCACGTGTACGTAATGTGCTGTTCTAGAAATAACCCAAAAGGCTTTTCAGATTTTCCTGGAAGATGCTCTTTTCTTGTAACAATACAGAGGCCCAACTAATGATTGTTAGGATATATAACAGGTTTAGATAACTTTTGAAAAAATTAGGACAAACGTGAGAGAGAAGCTTATACTGAAATTTTGTGATATGTGCTTGTAAGCAACGTTAAATTGATATTTGCAAGAGCTGTATCTAGCTCTAATTTTTTTAATAAGTTTTTTTAATAGTTGTTCAGTATCTAGTACAGCGATTCCTCCCTGCATTTGTGGGCCTTTCTGCAGCTTCAACAAATGAATTTGGGGGGGGATTTCTTTCTCCAGTAGGTTTGGTTTTAAATTAAACAGTTGCCTCCTGTTTAGGAGGAATGTTTATCAATGTTACTTGTGCAGAGCAGCCAATCAAAGATTTGTTGTAACCCACTCATCTGGAAAATCTCCCTCTTATTAGCTAAACAGACTTTGACAGGGTGGGGTGGGAGCACGTATGTGCCCCCAGATGTGGGAACATGCATATTTGTTTAAAGATCAGGATCTATTCTTTGTAGCTGGAATAAAACAAGCACGTTTTTGAGCCGAAGAGATGCAAAAGCGGGTCCAATAAAGTTCTTATCCAAAAGTCTTAATGCTGTCTGGGGATTTCCCCCGGCTTGGAACCATAAAGATTTGCTTGTTTCAAGTAGGGCTGAGTAAAAGCCCCAAAGTGCTTTCTCTCCCTACAAAAGTGCTTTAGCTGTTTTGTTTAAAACTGAAAAGTCTATTTTATTGCTGATCTCTGAGAGCTGTCTTGCACAACTCTACGTTATAAGTATATGAAGTTGTTTCCATTTTAGTTGCCTGCTTAAACCGCTGGTTCTACATTTAGTGTGTTAGTTATTAACTGAACTAGAGAGGTGATACTGTCCTCACTACTGCTGTTGGTGTTACCATCAGCTGCTAGTGAAAGCAAAACCTTGAGCTTGGATCCTCCTCTGTCTTTGAGTACTCTGAAGCATTAAAATAAGTCAGTTGCAATTTCAAAATCTGTATGGGAATGCTTTTGCTCTTGCCTATCAACTTGTTACTTGGAAGGGAGACCTGTTTCTTAGGAGAGTGTCAGTTTTCCGTGTTGATGGCATGTTTCTTCTTGTTCCGGTTGCAGTGTGGATTTTATCTCCCTTGACTACTCTCTGGAGAGTATTGGTTACCTGAGAGCTAACTGGAGCTGATTTTACTATCTAACTCCAGTCTACTGTATTAGAATGAGAGAGAAAATTCTGTTTTTGAGCGCTCGCACTGGCCTTCTGTCACTTGTTCTCATATGTCAGATTACCATATTGGATTAAGACGTGTCTAAAACACAGATGCTTTTCTATCATCAGGCAATATCTTAGGAAGCAAATTATGAATACAGCAAATGGCTATATGAGTGCAGTTCTGAAAGCATGGTAGGAGAGTTGTCCAGACTCGAATCTTTTCTGTTAATTTGTAGATAACAGGGGTAAACTATTCTGAACGTTATAATTTAGAAAACCTACTGCTTATATGCAAAATAAAGCATGCATTGAGCAAACTGTTTTCATAAAGTTGAAAATTCCCAATAAAATATGAGCTAGTGAATGAATTTTTACTCCTGTTGGTTGAAGGCTTTCTGTTCTAAGGGAAGAATGCGCAGAGAAACTTAGGTTATAGTACTACTTTGGATGTGTTTAGTCTAAATACTTAGTAGGTTTCCTGGCTGGATTGAGTTTGCTTAGAGATGCATAGGGCAGAGCTGTAGATGTAAACCAGAGACCAGAGTCTTCTACAGGACAAACAGTATTTTTGTAAAATAGTATCATAAGAAATGAAAGAAGTCTTTGGATTCGTAACTTTTTAAAAAGCTGTTTTCAAAATTAGCTGAATGTTCTGAGACTGTGTCACTGTTGCGATTCGGAAAGATCATACTGCTGCAGTACGGTAGGCGTTAGTGGAAGTATGTATTCAGGTGTACCTTTGACTTTTTTTTTTCCCAATGAAAATGGTTTTATTTTCTTATGCCAACCTTTAAACATACATATTAAAAGGACAAATTCTTATGGTAGTAGGTGCAGGAGCAGCAAAGACAAAGGTGTGAAAGCATTTGGATATACGGGTTTGAGACTAGTGAGAACCTGTTTTGTCCTTTTAGCAGATTACACTGGCATATTTTTTTGGCTTGTCATAGGAAGAGGTAAGTAACGCAGCATAGTGTGACTGTATAGCTAAAGTAGTCACAGCTGTTATGTCTTATAAAGATACGTGATGTAACAGTACAAAGTAATTGAGAGAAGTAATTACGTTCAAATGGAAGACTAACAAATACATCTGAATAGTTGAATTTGGTATCCGTTCCTGAACGTAGGATGGTATTTATGAAATCAAATGGTATTTTGCTCATGCTTTCTTGAAATAAGCAAGTGAATAGAGTGGGCTAACAAAACTGTCATCAAGAATTTCCGAATTCTGAACTTAGCTGCTTCACTAACTGGGAATGTTTTTAACGTTTTCTTGAAGTTACGGATAATTATCTCACTGAGTTTTATCTCAAACTTCACAAAATGAGAGACTATGCAATTCAATTTCATAATTTTCCTAAAAATGGTGATTACATGTAGTTTAATTTAAAAATATATACTAGGAAATCTGCACTAATATTTTACACTTTGCATGTCCAAGCAAATATTTAAGTAAAATATGGATATGGAGAACGGACGTACCTTTTAAAATGCACTTTAAGAAGATCAGGTAACTGTCGCAATTTACTTCTGATATTGCAGTAAGCTGTGTTTTAGTTGAATGTCTGATAATATTGTGTTCATAAGGTTATTAGATTTTTAAAGGCAAATTGCTTAAATCTTAGGCATGTGCATAGAATGTGCATTTTGTGTAATTCAGATGTATGGGGTAAAACTGTAAACAGTTTAGAGTTTATTTAATTAAACTATATTAGTAGTATTTTGATTCCTCATTTATAGTTAAAGTGTGAGATTAAAAACCTGAAGATGATGATGGTGATAATGCCTTTTGAGACACACAAGACTCTGAGGAGCGTTTTAATAGTTTGCTTTTTCGCAAGAAACTTTTCAAGGAAGTAAGTTAGCTGAAGAACAAAAGGCAAACTAAGATGTTGAGAAGAAAACTACTGTGTAATTGGTGAATTCGTGTTTGACACTTAGCACATTTTTAATAGAATGAGGTTGCAAT